ACAACATGTATTGTTTGGCATCTCTGTGCGTGAATGGATATAATTTCGGCTTTGCCTATACACAAATTTATGTTTGCATACTCTTTTTATTTGTAGTTCCCCCCTACCCCGCTTTTTTCTGCAGGTGGTGCCATTGCGTGGATCCCTTGACACATCCACTTCTCACAAGGAGCACTCCATTACAACCAAAAGCCCACAGCCCCACCCACTAACGATCCTCACCGGCGTGGCCCCTGAGATCTCGGCCATCATTCTTCTTGAGAAGAGCCTTGATCCTTGAGCGGAGCGGCTTCTGCTATTGCCTTTCTGCTGCAACTGGTGCTGCTCTTGCTGGTGAAGCTGTTGCGCAGCCGCGACGGCATGGTGGCAATTGGCTGCGAGGTGTATGGGCAGGTCTACTGGAGGGAAATCATAGAGGCCTTGGGGCTGCATGCGTAGCCTGGGCACGCAAGAAGGGCATGGCTTGAGGTGAGGAAAGGAGAAAACTGGAGCTGCAGGGCGGGGGCCAGGCGGCGTCAAAGAGACCTGAGGAGCAATACGACCACTCGCAGCTCTGCCGCTTCAAGCTATGCAATAGGTTCGTCTATATATATATATATATATATATAAATCTACGTATTCCACTAGGGTCTATATATATGCATATATTCAGTTAGGGTCTGCGTTTCTGTTCTGCATGCGTTGTTGCTTGTTTCTGTGGATGCCAGCTTGTCTTTGCGCAGGGCAATTAAAAGCCATCTCAGCTGCTGAGTATACTGACGCGGAGTGTCGCTCTCGCCGCCTCCCCGCTATTGAAACCGCCGTATCCGAGACCTTCTAACAAGCCAAAGTGACATTCATGTACCAGCAAATATACCGCAGACTCAGAGGGAGGCGGAGAACCCAGGAAAGCCTGCGAAACGAGAAGCAACCAACAGCAGAGAGACCACCCAGCATCCGGAACATGTCGAAACGATGATGCCTCCAAGGACAAGATACTTCCCGATTTCACCTCCACGCGCAGCACCCACCCTCCAAAAAAGCTCAACACAAAAATAAAGTTCCCGAGAGACTGACTGAGCCGTTTCAGAACTTTATTTTTTTGTGTATAAGCTGTGTGCCACAGGCGTGAGCCCTGCAAACGCTTGTGCGTGTCGGCACACTGGCATAATCCGCTTCACCATGCGTTTCAATGATGAATTTATTAAAAGAAATATATAATCTGACCAAGAAATACAAAACTCACTGGAGACAAAACAGAGTCGGTAGGGTCTACCTTCAGGCCTGGGACCGCGCAGTCGCAAATAAGCTCCGAGACGTCCAGAGGCGGGGGGCGCAGATCGATGCCCTGGCAGCAGTAGCAGCAGCAGCCGCACCAGGCGATGCATTGTCAGAACACCGTGGAGGCACATGGGGCGGAGACGGCAACTTGAAAACCCAAAGACAGAAGAAAGGGAGATATGCAAAAGAATACAAAAACAGATAGGCGGCAACAGGCGCCACACATGAGGAATAAAGAGAACAGCTCATGAGCAGAATACAACCAAACTGGAGAAAAGAAACTTACCGTCTCCTCATCAGGAGAAGCCACAAACTGCTGCCACTGAGACCGCCACTCCTCAGGTACCAGCTGGTACAGTCCAGCTCGCGGAAGCGCCGCGTGTGTTCTGCAGCAGCAGCAGCAAGAGCAGCAACAATCCAAGTCATCTCGTATCCACGGGCAGCCCTACCTCAGGGTCCCTAGCACTGTTGTACCCACGAAGCTAGCTAGCAGGCAGCGAAGCGGCTAGCTTAAGCGACAGCTAGCCGGGCAGGCTGCTGCCCAGGGACTCAACCAGCGGAGACACGAAAATATTGTCTTCAGTAGAGTAACGACAATCACTTAAAGATTGAACAGAAACCTAGAGATACTTAGGTGTGGGGAACTTCACGAAGAGGAGAACGCAGTGGCAAACACCATCCACGCTTTCACATGCCAAGCTCGCGCCAGCAGCAGCACCAACAGCAGCAGCAGCAAGAGCAGCAGCAACAAAACAGGCAGCGCACTTGGATGTTCCCTGAAGCGGCTCGCGCTTGACTGTCCAGCGATTGCCAAGAATAGGGCCGAGGATTTTCTCCTCCTCTTTCATGCGATGCCGCCACCGTTGCCGGTGTTGCTGCTGCTGCTGCTGCTCAGAAAGGCAGAGCTAAAAGCAGCACACACGGACAACAACACTCAACGCAACTATAACCTCACAACCCAGGCATGCAACACGTCATCCTAGTAACACAGTGCTTCATGCTGCTCTGTCCTTGCTGCTGCTGATGCAGTAGCATCAAGGCTTCTGCTGGTGCTGCTTCTGGTTCTCCTGCTGCTTGTGCTGCAGCTTCTGCAGACGCACAGTGCACTCAGAGGCGCTTTGCGGAACGAGTCGTGAAGCAAAGAGGACCAAGGGCTGCGGCACTTCGAGTTCCTTCAAGAGAGGCCATTTCGCCGTCTCTACTGAGAGGTACCGCAACAACGCAGCAGCAGGGACCTGCACCAGCAGCAACAGCAGCAGCAGCCAGAAAACCACATATAGAGCCGCGCACAAAATCACCACCACCGCCTGCAACACAGCCATGCAGGCGTCGCAAAGCAGCTGCAGAAGGGCTAGACCGGAGGCAGCAGCTGCTCAACTTGGCGGCATAATGCGAGGGACAGGACACTCACCATCAACCGCGGAGACAGTTTCTGCTTCGAATGCTGCAGTGGAAGCGGCAACAAATTCCCGTGGGAGCAAAGCAAATCCACCGAGACATCCAAAGCCGGACCAGCAGCAGCAGCAGCGTCTTCAGCAGCAGCAGCTGCAGGCCCGTCTGCAGCTGCACCTCCGTCACCCTGCGTTGTACCGCCTGCGCTGTCGCGTCTTCTTGTTCCCAGATCCGCCTTGCCTGCCGAATCATCAGCGGGAGCGTGAGCATCAGCTGCTGCACCAGCAGCAGCAGCAGGGAGCACTTCCCCTTCTAAGGGCCACACGCGGTGGGCCGAAACCTCCTTGCGAACGTCTTCGTAGGCAGCCCAAGCAAATGCACTGTCTCCACATACTCTCCGACTCTTGCATTTACCTCCTCGCGAACCGCGCTGCTGCTGCGTTGCAGCAGCAGCAGCAAGAAGCGTCATCAGGGGCCCCCCGCGAGGCCCCTCCCTTGCTGCTGCACTGCAGCTGCTCAGGTATACCGCATGCTGCCCCAGCATGTGTTGAAGAACACGGCGGGAGACTAGCACTAACTCCTCCTGCTCGGGCTTCAGCTGAGGCTGCTGTACTTGCTGCTGCTGTGTTTGCTGCTGCTGTGACTGCCCTGTGGGAGACTCCTGTGCTGTTTTTGGAGTCTGTTGGCAGCATCCCTCGAGTTCCAGCCGCTGCTGTTCGGTGCATATGGAATCGCCGTTTGCTGCTGCAGCAGCTGGTGCGGCAGCAAGAGGTGGCTCCGGCGTAGCTACAGGGGCAGGGGTTGATACAGCAGCAGCAGCGCCAGCAGCAATGAGGTGCTGCTGCTTCGCAGACGAGACGAACAGGTCCACTTCGCTGTGCTGCAACGCCGAGAGGTCCGCCAGGCCCCTCAGTGCTGCTGCACATCTGGTGCAGACAGCCTGCTGCAGCAGCGGTGTCTCTACAGACGCGCGAAGCCCCACAGCAGCAAAAATAGACCTTAGGACCGATACAGGAACAAGTTTAGCTTCTCCACTCCACACCGCGAGGGGATCGATCCCATACGGCTGCCCCACCTCACTGCTGCTGCTGCTGCTGCCGCCGTTGTTGTTGTCACTTGCCGACCAGAATGAAGGCCGCTTGCCGCTCCGCTTCTGCTGCTGCAGATCTGTAGGCACACAAGGGCAGCAGCAGCAGTAGCTCTTGCAGCACCAACGAGAAGCAACGCGAGAAGCAGCAGCAAGAGGTGGCCCCACGACACTGGAAGCAACAGCAGCAAGAGCAGCAGCAACGACAGCTACAGCAGGAACGCTACTATGGAAAGCAGCAAAACTGCACAACCAACGTACGCCTGATATAGTGGGGACACAAAATGCTGCTGTAGTCCACGACTCCAGCCTCTTCAAATACCTCAGGGCAGACAGCAGCTGTCCATGCGGTGCTACCTCTCTTAGGGATCTTCTTCTGCTGCTGCTGCTGCTGCACTTGCTGTTGTCCTTGCTGCTGCTGCAGCGTATCCGACTCCTCCATGTCAAGGTGAATGTCTCCCTGCTGATCGTGCTGCTGTTGCTGCGGTGGCGCTGCAGCAGCCGCAGCCGCAGCCTTACCAGACTTGTCTGCTGCACCATGGAGATATGAGTTGCTGTTCGCGTTGTCTCTCGGGGGCCGCAGATGCTGCGGCAGCAGCACTGAAACGCATGGGTAATCCGTACCTCTTACGAAAGAAGCCCACCAGCTCTTTGGAACGAAGGCCAGCTGCTGCAGCAGCGGCAGCAGCTGCTGCTTCTCAGCTGCATCCGCAGCAAAGTTGTCCCCCGTTTCAGCAGCAGCAGCAGCCACAATGAACGCCTGCTGCGCCTCCTGCTGCTGCCGCTGCAGCTCCAACTGCCGCAGCGCAGCTGGCAGCTGCTGCCGCAGCAAATGCGAAATGAATGTTTGCTGTTGCAGCACGAAACTCGTCAGCAACTGCGTGCGCTCCTCCTGCTCTCGTAGGCGACTAAAGAGGCGTTCGTTCTGCAGCAGCAAGCGCAGTATCAGCAGCAAGTGCAGCAGCAGCAGCACAGCGCAGCAGCAAGCGTACTAGCAGCTATTGGCAGCAAAATCAATCGCGACAGTCGCGTAGCCATCTGAACCCTCCTTTGGCCTCCCAAACCCTAAACCCTAAAGCCTAAAGCTAAACCGTAAACCCTAAGCAACTCTCCAGACCCGCTGATGAACCTACACAAAGACTGGACCCGCAGCAGCCGACGCTCAGCTCGGACTGCCGCGGCTGAGCAGCTTCTTCTGCCCGTGCAAAGAACAGCAGAAGCGCAGCAGCAGCAAACCAACAGCAACCCACCTCTGCATGCACGAAGGCCTCCAGCGCTGGGGGCAGCGGAGGATCTTCTGCAGCAGCAACAATGTCGCCCCTTATGTACGTCACGCTGTGCACTGTTCTGCTCAGCAAGTAATTGCTGTTCTCCGCCTGCTGCCGCTGCTGCTGCAGAGGCATAGAGGGTGGCAAGGAGGGCGGGAAATGGTGCTGCTGCTGCTGCTGCTGCAAAGGTTGTACGTCGTCGGCGCTGCACAGGCCGCTGTCGTACTGTTGCTGCTGCTGCTCATGCTCTTCAGACCCAGAAGGGAAGGAGAAGCGACTGACGCAGCTGTCATTAAAATACACCCAAGGCCAGCGCTCCCCCTGCGTCTCCGTGCTGCACGCATAGATGCAGTAGCAGCAGCAGCGGCATCAACACCAACGTAAGCAGCAGCAGCAGCTGCAGCAGTGGCAACAGCAGCAACGTCAGCAGCAAAAACTGCAGCTGCACGGATCAATTCAAACACAATGGCAAAGCGGGGAAGCGTAACGTACCTGGACCAAGCATTTGCCATCTGCTGCTGCTGTTGCTGTTGCTGCTGTTGGTGCTGCTGTTGCTGCAGCAGCCGCTGCAGCTGCTGCGGCGCCTGCTCGGGCTCGGCCTCGAATGCAGCTGCTGCTTGCGGCACTGCTACCTCCCAGTCATCATCGCTCTCCAGGTCTGCAGCAAGCCGCGCAGCAGCAGCTTCTGCTGCAGCAATTACAGAACTACCATCTTGACACCTTGTGCTGTTTGCGTTCATGCTGCGGCTGCTGCTGCTGCTGCTGCTGCGCTTTTGCGGCGCAACAGCAGCAGCAGAGGCCTCGCCATCTGAGCCAGGAGAAAACTGCTGCCGCCGGACTACAGAACGACGACTACGACGGATGCTGAAGCTGCTGTTGCTGCCGCTGCTGCTGCAGCTGCTGCTGGTTGCTGGCGCCTCCAGAGGGCCTCCGCTACCCTGGTTGCTGCTGGTGCTACTGCTGCTGCTGCCTCTGCTGCTGCTGCCCAAGCCATCACCGCCCGCATTGACGAGTGCAGCCTGCAGCAAACCCGAGTCCGTCCCAACAGCAGCTCCAACAAAAGGTAGTGCTTCTCCTGCTGCAGCAGCGATTTCCAAAAACTGCTGCTGCTGCTGAAAGCCAGTGTCTGCACCTGCAGCTGCTCCAGCAGGGTTAGGCACCTTCACTTTTGTCACTGAGCCACTGTTCCGGATCTGTTGCAGCACCTGATGGTGTTGCTGCTGCAGCAGTTGCTGCTGCTGCTGCTGCTGCTGCAATCTTTCGCCGCAGCCCGTTGAGACAGGCACAGCCTGAAACGTTTCTATACGCCGGTTCACGGAGGCTTGCTGTTGCTCCAGTTCCACGCCTTGCAGCAGCAGCTGCTGCTGTGGTATGTGTTGCTGTTGCTGCTGCTGCAGCATGTGCTGCTGTTGCTGCTGCTGCAGTATGTGCGGCTGCGCCTGCAGGGACGCTGCCCCCCCATACATACTCAAGTTCGCAGCAGCAGCGTCAACAGCAGGAGCAGCAGCAGCAGGAATCGCTGCACCTGCTGGGACCTGCAACTGGGGCCGTCCCGGTTGAAGCGTGGTGGTAGCTGGGGGGAGAGGGCGCTGCAGCGGCGTTGTAGTGTCTGCCCCCGCATCTGCAGCATGCTCTGCAGCAGTGCTGCTACTGCTGTTGCTGCTGCTGCTGCTGCGGTATCTGACGTCTCGAATGATTGCAGTGTAATGGCCCGAAGCAGCGGAGGCCCCCTGGTGCTGCAGCACAGCGAACAACCGGTAGCTGCTAGCCAAGGGCCCCGCTTCCGCCAGAGACACGCTCCCCCCCAACGGCACTGCAGCAAGCGCAGCAGCAGCAGCAGGGGTTGCAGCAGTGGTAGCCCGAGAGCAGCACCACCGAACCAGGCCAGAGCAGCACCAACGCATATATAGAGAGGTGACATCTCTGCTGCTGCAACGCAAGGTGAGACCATTTCTTCCCTAAAAAAAAACCTTGGAAGGAGACAGATGGAATCAGCAAGACAGACAAAGAAGAGACACGAAAGCGGAGAGAGGCAGACAGGCTATGCAAGGACTAGCCCAAGAGCGAACAGCAGCACCAGAGGGCAGCAACAACAGCATAAGCAGCAGCTGCAGGAGGAGCAGCAGCAAAAGCAGGAGTAGCAACAACGGCAGCACCAACAGCAATAGCAACGGCACCAGCGATAGAAGCAGCACTAGCAAAAGTAGCAGCATTAGAAGCACCAGCAATAGCAGCAGCAACATCAGCAGCATTCGCATTAGCAACAGCAGCAATTGCAGCATTCGCATTCGCAGCAGGATGAGCAACAGAAGCAGCAGCAGCAGCACTAGCAGCAAAAGTATTACGTGAAACTCTGCATTTATCTGCGAGGCCCCCCTTCAACTCGATGAACAAAGGCACCTCCAATGCCTCGTGCAGTTTTCGCCGCGCTACTTCGCCCGTTTGCTTCCGAACGTCGATGCTGTAACGCAGCACCACTACCTGCAACACACACAACAAACAATGCAACTCTTCCTGCTGCTGTTGCAGCTGCTCCTGCTAGTGCTGCTGCAGCTGCTGCTGCAGCTGCTGCTGCTGGTGTTGGTGCTGCTGCAGCTGCTGGTGCTGATGCTGGTGCTGCTGCTGGTGCTGTTGCAGCAGCAGCTGTAGCTGCCTATGGTGATGGTGCTGTTGTTGCTGCTGCTGAAAGCAATGGTACTTCTGCTGTTGATGCATGCTGTTGCTGCGGATGCTGCTGCTGCCACTGCTGCTGCTGCTGCTGGTTTTTATCCGCAAAGGAGGCGTTGGCTACGCGCGGCGTTCGGTGACAGCCGAACGCCGCGCGTGAGAGGCTTGGTGAGGCCTGTGCATCCGAGTGTGTGTGTTTGTCTTTATCTATTTGTTTGCCTTTCTCTATTTGCTTGTCTGTCTTCACTATATATATGTAAATAATATGCATATATATGCATACATACACATATATGGATATACATATCTATATGTATGTATATATCCAAATATAAATACATACATATATATATACAAATGTAAATGAATATATATATACATATATCAATATATTCTGCTTCGAGAGTTTCTTTGTCTGTCTGTCTATACTATGTGTTTGTCTTTATTTGTTTGCTTTTTTCTTGTCTTTGTCTTGCGTGTTTGCTTTGCTTGTCTTAGTTTGTTTTGTCTGCCTTTCCTTGCTTTGCATTTGTTTTGTTTTCAGTGTTTGCTTATATGTTTTTGTATGCTTGTTCGTTTGCTTGTTTGATTTATTTGCCTGATTATTTATTTGTTTACTATCTGCCTGTCTCCTCACTCTATCCCTTTAACATTTCTGTCTCTTTAATCTCACTCTCTCTCTCTCTCTCTCGCTGTCTCTTCAATTTGTCTGTCTCTTTAATCTTCTTCTCTTCGTCTTTTTTATTTGCTCTCTCTCTGTCTGTCTGTTTACTCTTCGTCTGTCTCTGTACTCGTACTTTGTCTCTCTAATATCTATCTGTCTTTTTCACTTTGTCTCTGTCCCTTTAAGCTTTATCTGTGTGTCTCTTTAATATATATCTCCCCATCATTATCTTTATCTTTATATTCATCTTTAATATTTCTACTTGCGTATGTGTATACTGTAGTCTGACTTGCAAGTAAGGGGGCAGCAGAGACAGCTGAAGCCTCTTCTTTGCTTCTCTTTTGTCTCTGCACTGGGGACAAAAATATTTGGCGTCTCCTCGCAGATGTTCTGTACGTTGAAACTGCCTCGCCAGATCTTCTCCTAACCGCCAGCTGCTCCGTTCGGCTGCAGCTGCTGCTGCTGCTGTTGCTGCAGGGGCTGCTGCTGCTGCTGCAGGGGCTGATGCTGCTGCGGGAGCTGCTACTGCTGCTGCGGCTGATGGAGGGGAAAGAGAAGGCAGCAAACCTGTAACCGAAGAAGGCATACACCCACTCACGTCGAACCCCAAACCTCCAGCCGCTTGCTGCTGCAGCAACAGCAACTGTTGTTGTTGTTGCTGCTGCTGCTGTTGCTGCTGATGGGTAGCGCTGCTTTTTGCTGCTCCGCTTCGCTCTCTCTTAGCTGCTCCACGTCTGTCCCCCGTGCCGTGTTGCTGCTGTTGCTGCTGCTGCTGCTGGAGTTGTTGCAGGTAGATTTGCTGCTGCAAATCCAGTGCATCGTTACCTCCCGCAGCCGCTGCAGCAGCTGCAGCAGCAGCAGCAGCTGCTGCTGCAGCAGCTGCAGGCCCGTGCTGCTGCTGGGTCTTCTCTTCCTTGCTGCTTTTTCTTTCGCTTTTATGAGTACAGCTAAGCTGACAGAAGGTCTCCTCTCGCACTCCGGTGTATCCGCAGCTGCGGCAGCAAACTGTCTGCAAGTGTGCACCCCTGAAGAGAGAAGGTAAGAAATTCCATGGGCTGCTAACACCGCCTAATTCTAACTCCAGCATCTCCAGCAAACGGTGCTGCAGCTCGTTGGCGTCCTCCTAAACACAGCAGCAGCAGCAAACAGGCAGCAGCGCCAATAGCAGCAGCAGCAGCAGAAAAGAAAAAAGAAACAGCAAATGATGCACAAGCAGACGCTAACACGACACCTTTCCAGCTTATCCCTCAGCGACAGCTGCGGTGGCTGCATCTGAAGCTACATGCAAGCTGCTGCTGCTGCTGCTGTTGAAACATCCGGAGTGGCGGCAGCAGCAGCACACAGAGTAACAGCAGATAACAGCAACGGGCATCAGCAACAGCAACAGTAGCAGCAGCACCAGCAACAGTAGCCACAGAAACAACAGCAACAGCAGCAGCAGCAACAACAGCAACAGCAGCAGCAGGAGTGGCGTACCTGACAGGAGACATCATCTGCAAGCAAATCCGCCAAGGACTCGGGCCTAAGAGCTGCCTGTACACCGCATTGCAGCAGCGCGAAGATACGCTGCAGCTCCTCTACAAGTGCATATCTGCTGCTGCATAGCCACTTGCAAGCAGCAGCCGCTGTCGCCTCATCTAAGGCCCACGATGGGCTCTCTGAAGCAGCAGTAGCAGCAGCATCACCGGCAGCAGCGACAGCACTTCCACCAGCTTTTGTACTGCCTATGCTACTGCTGCTGCTGCTGCTGCTCACGGCCCCTCCTGATGCCTTTTCCCTAGAAGGTGAAGATACACCTGAAACAACTTCACAGGATTCTCCTCTATTTCGCTCTGCTCCCCCTGCCCCTGAGCAAGAAGATTCAGGTTCCGCTACTGCTGCTGCTGTTGCTGTTGCTGCTGCTGAGGCTGCTCCTGCTGCTTGCTCATCTGGTGCCGCTCTGGGGCCCTCTGAGGACGGCGACGCACTTCCTGCAGCAGCAGCTTCCTGCTGCCGTTGCTGCTGCTGCAGAGTTTGCTGCTGGTGCTCCCGCTGCTTCACCGTCTCTCTTTCCTCCGCAGGCAGCATGCCCCCATCTTGCTGCTGCTGCTGCTGCATGTCGAGGTCGTCTTCTACACATATGACGGCTGCATTAAGCTTTGCTGTTTTCGTTCGTAGCTGCTGCTCTGCGTGCTGCAGCTGCTGCAGCGTAGGCAGCAGCAGCAGCGCCTGCCTGAAGTGTATATTCATGTATAATGCCTGAATGAAGACATTCATATAACAAGTAGCTCCGAGGTTTTCAAGCCCTCCATATCGGCCTGTGCGCAGCAAACACCCCTGCTGCAGGAAGTCTTCTTGATACTGCTGCTGCTGCTGCTGCTGTTGCTGTTGTTGCTGCTGCTGCTGCGAAGGAACGCCAACGCTATTCGCGCTGCTGCTGCCGTCGTGCTGCTGATGCTGCTGCTGCTGTTGGTGCCTGCAGCACGCGGAGAACCACCGCACGCTGCTGGCGAGTTGGCTGTCAGTTTGCTGGAGGTCTTTCTGCTTGCGGGCGTCTCTGCTGCTGCTGCTGCTGCTGCTGCTCTTGCTGCTGCTGCTGCCTTTGCCCCACAAGCCGCTCTTGAACTCCCCCATGCCATACAAAGACAGAGGGTGGCTCTCCTGGTGTACGTCTTTTGCTGCTGCGAAGCCTACGCGCAAGTTGTATGCAAACAGCACATCACTAAACCAGCACTGCTGCTGCTGTTGCTGCTGCTGCTGTTGTTGTTGTTGCTGCTGCTGCTTCGAGTGCTGCTGCTGCTGCTCAGAAGACGAACGGCACAAACGCCGCACCGGACGCGAACTTGGCTGGAGTGATGGTGCTGCTGCTGCTCCTATTGCTGCTGTTGCTGCTGTTGCTGCTCCTGTTGTTGCTGCTGCAGCTGCTGGTGCTGCTGTGGGACTTGGAAAGGCCATCGGCTGCTGCTGCTGCAGTCTCTGCATCGCGTTGAACGCAGACGCACCTCGAGAAGCCTCTGCTGCTGCTTCAGGCGTTGCTGCTGCTGTTGCTGCTGCTGCGTCTGCTGCTGCCTCAGTTCCTACAGCCTCTCCGTCAATTTGCATCGTGTTCTTCTCAGCAGCGCGCGCTGCAGGACCTGCTGCTACTGCTGCTGCTGCATATGCTCCTGTTGCAGCAGCATCCGGCGTGTTGCTGCCACGCGCGAGGGCAAAAATGCGTGCTGCTGCTGCTCCTGCAGCAGCAGAAGCAGGACGAGAAGCACTTGCTGCAGCTGCAGCTACGGGGAAGCCAGCACAAAGGGCGCGGGCAGCAGTGCGAGAAGCAGCTGCTGCTGCTGTCGCTGCTGCTGCTGCGGCTGTTGCTGCTGTTGCTGCTGTTGCTGCTGCTGCTGTTGCTGTTGTTGCTGCTGTAGTTGCTGCCGCTGCTGCTGTTGCTGCTGCTGCAGTTGCCGCTGCTGCTGTTGCCGCTGCCGCTGTTGCACTCTCCGCCGGATCTACTACGGCCGCTGCGCTCTTCCCTGTTGGAGCAGCAACAGCAGCAAGTTCTGCTGCTGCTGAGGGTCCTGCTGCTGCTCCACCTGCAGCAGCACCAGCTACAGCATTTGTAAGATGCTGCTTCCCATTCGGTACACGGTTGTAGCTGCTGCTGCTGCTGCCGTTTCTCTTGCTGCTGGCGCGCCGTTCCGCTGCTCCTGCTGCAGCTGCTGCAGCAGAAGCAGCAGCAGGAATTTCGACTGCTGCGTCATGTTGGTGCAGCCCTTGCTGCTGCGGATGACTGTCACAAGCAGCAGAATGTGCTGCTGCTGCTGCTGCTGCATTCTGCGCTCCTTCTGCAAAATTGGGGGCTTCTACACACATATTCACCGCTTCCTCTGTCCTGCTGTTGCTGCTGCTCCCGTTGTTGCTGCTGTTGCTGCTGCTGCTGCTGTTGCTGCTGCATGCCTCGTGCGAGGATGCCAAAGCTGCTGCAGCAAGATGAGCTGCGGGGGCATATGGCTGCTGCTGCGGTGCAGACGCCATCGCTGGAAACCCCGTTGCTGCTGCTGCTGCTCCTGTTGTTGCTGCTGATGTTGTTGCTGCTGCTGCTGTGGTTGTTACCGCTACTGCTGCTGCTGTTGCTGCTGCTGCTGCTGCTGCTATTGCTGCTGGTGTGGGTGTCCACCATGGGTAGGGAAGCCATGCTTCCGATTAGCTATGAGCTCCTGTAGCAGCTTCGCGTTGCATTCGTACGTGCTGCTGCTGCTGCTGCTGCTGCTGCAGCTGCTGCTGCTCCAGTTCCTGCTGCTGCTATTGCTTCTGGTGAGAGTGACAACGGCCGTGTACACCAACTGCAGCGGGGAGTTGCTGCTTATATGTCTGTCTTTAGCCTGCTGCAGCTGCTCAGCCTGTCTGCGTGCCCCCAGCAGCAGCAGCAGCAGAAGCATAAGCTGCGGCGGCGACCGCTGCAGCAGCTTCAGCAGCAGCAGCTGCTCGTATATAACCCTTTTTCTCTCCCGAGCGCCCCGTCTAAGCCGTTCCGGTTGCAGCTGTTGAGCTTGCTGCTGCTGCTGCTGCCGCTGCCGCTGCTGCTCGCGTTGCTGTTTATTGCTGCGGCAGCAGCAGCTCTGGGAAAGGAAAACTCTACACCTTAAGAGTAAAATAACAAACAGCTGCTCCTTCAGCTGTTGCTGCTGCTTAGCAGCAGCAGAGCAGCAGCAGCTGCAGCGCCAGCATCGAGGGCCCCTGTGTGCATGTGTTGGTTTGTCTGCATTCTGCTGCAGTACAAGGAGGGAGTTTCTTCCTTTTTATTAACAGATTATAATTATATAATCGTATATTTGCTGCTGCTGCTGCTGCTGCTGCTATAGCGGGCCCTCAACAGCTAGGGCCTGCTGCCTTGTAGGAAGCGACGGGGCAGCAGCGTTTGTCTTTTGTATTCTTCTGCTGCATTTTAAAATAATTATTTATTTAAATTACAATAAATGCTATATTTAAATCGCATTCATTCTGTTTGAGAGGCAGAAGGGCCAATAATGGAGGCACCTGCCTATACACCCCAACTGTGCTGCTCGCCTCCCTCACAGCTGTTCTGAATTGCTGCAGCTACAGCACCAGCAAATGCAGCAGCAGCAAACGCGGCACCAGCAGCAAATGTAGCAGCAGCAGCAAACGAAGCAGCAGCAGAAATATGCTGCGCCCTGGACCCTGTATAGCCCTTTAAGTGTACGTACACCTCAACTACTACTGCACACAGTGAGACAGCACCAGCAGCAGCCATCAATTATAAATAGAGCGGGCGGCATGCATAAATAGAGGCACTAGAAGCCCCTTGCTGCTGCTGCTGCTGCTGCTGCGTCTGCTGCTGCTGCAGGCGTGCGAATGGAGACTGAGCAGCTGCAGATGCTGCTGCAGTTTCTGCTGCACTCGCTGCTCCTGCGTCTTCTGCTGCAGCACGAGCAGCAAGAGCAGCAGCAAAGGTGTCGAGTTTATCTATCAAGCCTTCGTTTTCCTTCTCAACCTGCAGACAACGTTGCGTTGCTGCATGTAGTTCTGCTGCTGCAGCGTGCAGCTGCTTCTGCTGCTCCTGCAGCTCAGCCTGCAGCAGCAGCAACAGAAGATGCAACAGCAGCAGAAACACACCCCTCACCCGAACTGAACAAAAACTGCTTGCTGCCTGCAGCCTTGCATAGTCGATACCTGCACCCGCTGCTGTTGCTGCTGCACTTGCTGCTGCTTCTTTTAGCTTACCTGCAGCTCTGCGTTCGCTGCTTTAAGGGCTTCTTCTCGTTGCAGCGCCTCTGCATGCACGAGAGTTAGCTGCAGCAGCAGCACATCTCATACAAATGCATTCATTTGCTGCTGCTGCTGCAGTTTCGCTGCCGCTGTCCTTGCTTCTATTGCTGCTGCTGCTGTTGCGCTGCGGCACCGAATGGGTACAGGAAAACTTACGTGTGCTACGAGCTCCTCCGTTTGCTGCTGTCGCTGCTGTTGCTGCTGCTGCTTTTGCTGCTGCTGCTGCTGCTGCATACGAAGCTGCAACCACAGAAAATACATCACTAGGGAGACCGTTAACAGGTGCAGCAGCAGCATCACCAGCAGCAATAGCAGCAGCAAAAGCAGCAACAAAGGCCCTTACTTCAGCTGCTCCTGCATGAGCATTATCCAGCAGTTGCTGCAGCCGCAGCTGTTGCTGCTGACTCTGCTGCAGCTGCTGCTGCAGCAGCTCAATAGCCTCGTCGGCCTTCCGCTTCTCTCCCTCTAAAAGAGACACTGCCTGAGCAGCAGCAGCAGCAGCAACCGCAGTCACTGGCTTAGCAAAGCAGCCTGGCAGCAACAAGAGTAGACGCAGCAGCAGCAGCAGCAACAGCAGCAGCTTGCCTGTGTCTTTGCCTCTAAGATTTCCATGTGCTCTCTCTGCACCTGCCTCTCAGCCTGAAATGAAGAAGCAGCAGCAGCAGCAGCAACTGTTGCTGCTATTACAACAGCGCAAGTAGCTGCAGCAACAAGCAGCAGCAGCAGTGTGACTAGCGGAACGGATCGCAGCAGCAGCAGCAGAAACTAAAGCAATAGCAGCACCTGCAGCAGCACCAGCAAGTGCAGCAGAAGCAGCAGCAGCAACTGCAGCAGCACCTATGCTGCCCCCCACCTCGGCATTCCTAGCCCGCGCTGTTTCTGCTTCAATCAGCTGCTGCTGCAACTCATTCACCTGCACAGCAGCAGCAGCAGCAGCAGCAACAGCAGCAGCAGCAGGTGGTGCAACCGGTAGTCCAGAACGGGTACACCCTGCCACAGCCAGCAGCAAACCCTAAACCCTAAACCCTAAACCCTAGAGACCGACTGTCTTGCGGTGCTCTGCAAGGGACATCGCTTGCATCTCCAGCTGGGAGCGGAGGTGTTGCTCCAGTTGCTGCTGCTGCTGCAGCTGCAGCTTTTGCTGCTGTAGCTGCTGTTGCAAGTGCTGCTGCTGCTGCTGCACTATTGGCGAGTTGGGGTTTGCGTTGCTGCCCCGATGCTTCTCCTGCTCCAGGCGTAGGGCGAGTTCTGAGGGCAGGGATAGCAGCAGCAGCAGCAGCAGCAGGAAATCCTTTGAGCACACTGTTTGTTCGTCTGCAGCAGCAGCAGCTGCTGCTGCTGATGCTGCTGCAAGAGAGCAGCAACGAGTTGTACATGGAGTGCGGCAGCGCTGCAGCAGCAAACCCACCTGAAAGCTGCAGTTCCCGTCTTGTTGCCTGCAGCAGCAGCAACAGCAACGATAGCAGCAGCAGCAACAACAACATCAAGGCAATGCTCATCAATACGGATGCAACAGCAGCAGTAGCAACAGCAGCAGCAACAGCAGCAGCAACAGCAGCCTCTGTGCTCACTGCCAGTTCTTCCTGCAGCGCCTGGACCTTCTCCGGTGTCTGTACACCTCAAGCGGAGCAGCAGCAAACGGAAGCAGCAAATTAAGCTGCAGCCTTTTGTTCTTAGGGTTTAGGTTTAAAGCCTCGTCAGATAACAGGGCTCTAACCGTAAACCCTAAACCCTAAACCCTAGCATAAGCACTAACGCTCTACAGCTTAAAGCTTTAAACCCTAAACCCTAAACCCTAAACCGAAACGCCTTGGGGTTTGCAGATTCGGAAACGCTTACTAAGCCGTCTTCATTCGGGGGCCTATAGAAGCAGCAGCAACAAAAGCAGCAGCAGCAGCACAAGCAGCAGCAGTATTATTAGCAGCAGCAGCAACAAACGATCAGTGGCAGCAAAGGCAGCAGCAGCAACAGCTGCGGTGCACAAGTACAGCAAAAGCATACAGCAGCAGCAGCAAATGCAGCAGCAGCATCTGCTGCTGCACCAACTACGGTAGCAGCAAAAACACCTGCAGCAGCAACAACTTCAGCGACAACGGCTGCAGCAGCAGCTGTAGCAGCAACAAGTGCGGCGGCAGCAGTAGCAGCAACTGCAGCAGCAGCAACAGGTCAATGCCGGGAGCGAGATGAGGCTTACGCTGCAGCAGCAGCAGTGTCTCCTCGCTCTGCAGCAGCAGCAGCAGCAGCCTGAGGCAACACACAGATGACTCATCCTAAGCTGTGCAGCAGACATGGCATGCGAGCGTTGCTGCTGTTACTGCTGTTGATGCTTCTGTTGCTGCTGCTGTTGCTGCTGCCTGTGTTCCTGTCTGCGCTTTATTCTGGGCCTACACAAGTGGGGCAGGTGGCTTGTTGCTGTTGCTTCTGCTGTTCCTCGTGCTGCTGCTGCTGCTGCAGCAGCACAGCAGCGTGCTGCTGCGCAGCCTCGCTGGCTGCCTGCAACTCTATCAGCATTTTCTTCATCTCCTCTGTGCGTTGGCGCTCTGTCTTTAGCTGCTGCTGCAGCTGCTCGACTTGCCGCTGCTGCTGCTGCTCCTGCTGCACTCTTTGTTGCTGCTCCGCAGCCTGCAACAGCTCAGCACAGCAAAAGGCGAATACTTCGCCGTTTGCTGCTGCTGCTGTTGCTGCTGCTGCTGTTGCTGCTGCTGCTGTTGCTGCTGCTGTTCTGTACCTGGAGTTTCTCAAGCGAATTTTTCTGTCGCAGCTCCTCTTGCTGCTTTTCCGCTTCTGCTACCCTGCAGCAGCAGCAGTAGCAGCAGCAGCAGCAGCAACAGCAGCAGCAGCGCAGCACGGTGGCGGTTGATGCAGGAGGCCGCAGTAAAGTAAGACATGAGGAGACAGACAAAGACAAAAGAAATGAATAAGAGAGCACCGCAGCTGCAGAGACGGAGACAAGTAAAACAAATAAAAAATAAAACACATAAACACATAAACAAATAGCAAATAAAACAAATAAAACAAATAAACAAGTTAAACAAATAAACAAATTAAACAAATAAACAAACTAAACAAATTAAACAAATAAACTGAGGCGAGAAGGAGGAGCAGCATGCGACTAAAAAGAGACAAACAAAAACAGCGAGAACAAACAAAGAAAGATAATAAATATATAATTTTATAAATAAATAAATATATATATATATATATATATATATAAATGCATATATATATACAATAACAAAAAGAAGCAAAGGGATATTAAAGAAAAAAGAGAGATAACAAATATATAATTTCATATATATATATATATATGCACCTTTCTTCTGCTTGCTGCAGCGCAGCCTCTGCCTTCGAGGTCCTCCCTATCCATTGCTGCAGCTCAGCAGCAACTTCTTCCTTTTCAGCCTGCAGCAGCAGCAGCAGCAGCAGCAGCAGCAGCAACGGCACCAAGAACAGTAAGTGCAGCACGCCGTTGCAGCAGACGGCGCCTTGGGGAGTTCGTTGTGTACTGCAGCACCTATAAATGCTGCTGCTGCTGCTGCTGTTGCTGTTGCTGCTGCTGCTGCTGCTGCTGCTGCAGCGTCTTGCCTACCTTCACAGCTTTAAGCTTTTTTCTAAGGGATTTAAACCGCCGCTGCAGCACTCGCTGTTCTGCTGCAGCAGCACTACGCATGCCCCGCAGCAGCAGGGGCCTCTTGCGGTAAGTGCTGCTGCTGCAGCGAGAGCTGCTGCAGCCTGAAGCCTTGCTGCTACTGTCAGTGCTGCTTGGGGCACTAGCAGAAAGCAAGCTCTGCAGCAGCAGCAACAGCAGCAAGCAAAGCAGCAGAAGCACCAGCATCACCACCATTCGCAGCAGCAACACTAACAGCAGCAAGAAAAGCAGGAACGACAGCAGCAGCAGCAGCACCATCAGTAGCAACTGCAGCAGCATCGGCAGCAGGGAATAAGGAGGCCCCGACAATGCATGCAGAACTGCAGCAAAGGAGGGCGACTTGCTGCTGCTGCTGCAGGTTCAGTGTCTGTACAGCACCTGAGGGCTGCCTCGCAGCTGCAGCAACTCTTCTTCTTTTGCATGCAGCAAGACGCGCAGCTCTGCTGCTGCTGCAGCGTCCTCTTGCTGCTGGTGCTGCTGCTGCTTATACATCTCGGCAAGCTCCCTCTCGTGGTTCAGCTGCTGCTGCTGCAGCTGCTGCTGCAGCTGCTGGCACTCCTCTTGCGCCTGCCGCAGCAGCTCAGCAGCCGCTGCTGCGTCTCCTGAAGCAGCAACAAATGCAACAGCAGCAGTAAATACAACAGCAGCAGCAACAAACGCACCAGCAGCAACAAGAAGAAGCAGCGGTCGTTGAGGGGACAGTAGCAGCAGCGAAAGTAACACCAGCAGCAGCTGTAGTGAAAGCAGCAGCAGCAACAGCTGCACCATTGCAGCTGAATCCGCGAAACACTGCAGCAGCAGCAGCAAACTTACGGATGCCTTCCTCCCCTTCCTTGCCTGACAGGCTGCTGCAGCACAAACAACAGCAGCAAAGTGCAGCAGCAGCAGCATGGAGCAGCAGCAGAAGTAATAGCAGCAGCACGCACAGCAGCAGAGACAGCAGCAACCAGTGAACATGCGGCGACAGGAACCGAACAGCAAACGCCAGCAACAACAGCAGCAGCAGAAGCAGCTAAGCGCTTGCCTCTGCTTGCCCGTTGTACATTTGGCTGCTGCTGCAGCGCCACCCCCTCTATTCTGCTGCAGAAGGGCCCCACAAGACTTGAGATCATCCAGCTGCTGCTGCTGCTGTTGTTGTTGCTGCCGCAGCTGCTGCAGCTGCACACGTGCTGCTTCGGCCTCCCGCCTGTGCTTCTCCGCTGCTGCTGCTTCCTGCTGCTGGGCAGAAGCAGCAGCAGCAGCAGCACTAGTCGCTTCATGAAGGCGCTGCTGCAGCTCTCTGTACCTGAGGCATTTCCGCAGCAGCAGCAGCAGCAACAACAACAACAACTACCATAAAAGCTGCAGCAACTCAGCGGCAGCATGCAGCAGCATTCAACAGCAGCAGCCCAGTAGCAGCAAAAGCACCGACCGCCTGATGCCATCAGAGGCAGCAGCAGCAGCAGCAGCAGTAGCATTCAAAGCAGCGCCAGTAGCTCCGCAGCAGCAACATGCAGCAACAAGAAGCCAGAAGAAGCAGCAACAACCGGAGTCTCCCCAGGAGCCGCAGCAGCAACCGCAACAGCAGCAGCAGCAGCAGCAGCAGTGAGGTGTATGCTCACCTGACTATAAGGGCTCTGAAGTTACCGACGGATTTAATTAAGTCAGACAGCAGCTGAGACACCAACTGACTGTTTGCTGCTACTACTAACTCTGTATAACCCAGAGAATGCAGCTGCTGCTGCAGCCTTTGCAGCCGCCGCTGCTCTTGCTGCTGCTGCTGCTGCTGATGCGGCCGGCGCTGCTGCTTCTCCTTAGCTTCCTGCTGCTGCTGCAGCAGGTGCTGTTGTTGTTGCTGCTGCTGCTGCTCGTCACTGCGAGCGGCGCTTGCAGGGGTTAAGACAAAAGTCGGAGGCCGGGGCGAGGGATCAGCAGCAGCTCCTTCTGCTGCTAATGCACCTTTCGTTGCTGCAGCTGCTGCTGCCGCAGCAGCTGTTGCAGCAGCAGCTGCTGCTGGGGGGAGGTGGGGCAGCAAGGTGCCTTCTGCAGCAGCAGCAGCAGCAGAGCGATAGAGAGGCTCAGGGCCCTGCATGAGCCGCCTAATAGAAAGACCTCCAACTGAGGACAAGAGGTTCGGCAGCTGCGCATCTGCTGCTGTCGCTGCGCTGCTGCCGCTGTTGCTGCTGCTGCTGCAGTTCTTGCCGCTGCCGTTCTTGCTGCTGCTGTTGCTGCTGCGGTGGCTGATGGGCACCGGCGCATCTGAAGCTACTGCAGGGGCGGAGCTAGAAGACCCACAAGGATTCAACTTGTTTTTGCTGCTGCTCCTGCTGCTGCTGTTGCTGCTGCTGCTGTTGCTGCTTCGGCTCATGCAGACACTGCTGCGCCTTAAGGAGGGACATTCCCCATTGTTTGGTTGCCCCATGGTGTCCTCGTGCTCGCTGCCATTTGACAGCCGTGCTGCTGCTGCTGCGGCTGTGCCGTTGCTGCTGCAGCGTTGCTGCGACAGTGCTCCTGCTGCAGCGTTGGTGCTGCTGGTGCTGCTGTGGAGCAATTAGTCTGAGGAGAAGGCAGCTGAAGCTGTCCCCGCCGTTTGCTGCAGCTGTTCGAAGCGCACACTAGCGCCAGCTATCAAGCAGTCGGACTCTAAATAAGAAATGTTGCTGCTGATGCTGCTGATGCTGCTGCTGTTGCTGCTGCTGCTGCTGCTGCAGACGGGGGCCTCGCGCTGCCAGGGTTGCTTCTTCCGCAGCAAAGGTAGTGAGTAGGCCAAAGCAGCAACAGCAGCAGCACGTAATGCTTTTGCTGCTGCTGCACAAACTCATACAGGAGAGCAGCAAGCCTCAGTAACAGCCGCAGGGTCTCCTCTTACGGGGGGCCCCATGACTGTGTTAATGGGTGGGGTTGCTGCAGGTGTTGCGCGACGGACAAATGCAGCTGAATGAAATAAAACAAACAAAAGAAATACAATTAAAAATAATAAACACAAAACAGAAACAAGAAAAACAAAATAACGAATTGTTTCAACACCACCTCCCAGCTTCTTGCACTGTATCGACGGCGCTGCTGCTGCAGCAGCTGCAGCAGCACAGACAGCAGAATGAAGAAGAGAGGAAATTAGGACAATTATTTATTAAAATAGCAAAATAAAGATAAAGGTAGCCTAATTAATGTATTTAATTGAAACTAATCATTTGTCCAGGTGAAAATATGTAATAAAGCTGAGAGCCCCCTGTGGGATTCGAACCCACGACCTTTTGATTACGAATCAAACGCACTACCAACTGTGCTAAGGAGGCTTAGTAAATAAGCTGTCTTCTATTGCTGCTGTGGCTTGTGCTGCATTTTTGTTGTCTTCTATTTGTCTTTATGTTTTGTTTTATTTAATTATTGTTGTTTTTCAAAGGCTAACTCTAAGTCTTTAGTATCACGCACATGTTCAGCTGGGGGCTAGGGCTGCTCCTGCTACGAGTTGGCAGCGGGGGCCTCCCCCAGCGCCGAGCAGCTGCTGCTGCAGGTCATGCTGCTGCAGCAGCAGCAGCAAGACCTGCAGCAGGAGCAGCAACAACAACAGCCAGCGGGATTTTAAGTGTGCATGCAAATAAGGGGGACATTGGAAGAGTAGGTTACGATGTGTAGAAGGAGCTGCTGAGACATCAACCGCTTGTTATCTTTACTAGAGCTGTTGTTGTTGCTGCTGCTGCCGCTGTGCGTGTTGTCTTGTGTGTCTTTCTTCTGTTGCTGCGCCTCTGCAATTGAAATATCGTCTCTGTCTTCTCCTGAATATCTATTGAGGTGCTTCCTTAAGAGAGGAGGCCCTCTCTGCTGCTTTTGCTTCCGATAGCAGCAAATGAGGGCCTCAGCATCTGCTGCTCCTGGGGGGACCTCCAGCCTGCAGGGTCTCTGCTGCTGCTGGTGCTGCTGCTGCTGCTTCATCTTCCTTGCTGCAGTTCTCTCCCTGACCACCGCCCCTGCGGACGCCCTGCAGCTGCTCCCGCTGCAGCAGCTGAAGCAGTTACCACTGCAGCAGCAGCAGCAGCAGCAATACAAGCCTCTCGCTTTTGCTGCCTTCTCAGCTGGGCGACCACTCGCAGTTTCTTTGGGGGGCCATCGTGAAGGAGACACCGCAGCGGCGTACAGCTCAAGTAGGCGTCCCTTCATAGCTGCTGCAGCAGCACCAGCAGCACAAGCAGGAGCAGCAGCAGCAGCAGCAGCAGGAGTAGGAGAAAGAGCACCCACGCAGATAAGAGCAGCGCGAGCCGCAGATGTAAGTACAACTGCAACAGCAGCAGCAGCTACTGCTGCAGGAGGGCCTGGAGAGATGACTCCAGCGAAGGCGGCGGAGACAACAGCAGCAGCAGCTGCAGCAGCAGCAGCAGCAGCAAACAGCACTCCTGCTGCTTTGTTTCCCTTTGGGCTTCCTCCTTCTCTCTCTCCGAGCTCTGCAGCAAACCCTAACACAGCAGCAGCACTCGATGAAGCGCAGCAAGTAATAGAAAAAGAAATGTGGCGTCTATACCACACCCAGCAGCAGCAGCAGCAGCAGCAGCAGCAGCAGCAGCAGCACAAGATGCTGTCTGCGCAGCAGGTGCAGCAGCTAATTGGCTTCTCTCAAGATTATTGCAATGCTGCGAAGACCTCAGGAGCAGTAAATGCTACTGAATGTATCGTCAAGCTTGTGTAAGTTTGTTTCTTTGCTCCCTTCTCGTTTATTTATTTATTTATTTATTTGTTTGCTTTATTATATCTTTTTGTTTTATACAGCACTCTCTTTCTTCTTCAGATCTCTTCTCTGGGGTGTCTCTGCTCTGCTTCAGCTTTAGCCTCCTCCTGCTGCTGCTGTAGCCCTATTTCCTGTTGCTGCAGCAGCAGCAGCACCTGTTGCAGCAGCAGCAACAGCAGCTTCTACTGCTGTTGCTACTAGTGCATGCTCTGTGTTGTGTATATACGCCGGGAGTTGTTGTTTGTGCTGCTGCTGCTGCTGCTGTGTCTTCTGTTCCCCCTGCAATTCCTGCTGCTGTCGTTGCTGCTGCTGCTGCTGCTGCTGCTGCAGGAGCGTGCTGCAGCAATGCATGCAGTGCAGCACTTATTCTTTTACTCCGTTTAATGCTGCACAAACAAAGCCGCTCGATTTCGCTCGCTGGGCCCTCCACCTGTGGGAGCCCCTCATAGACTTCAAAAACAGCAAAATACAGGTTTGCTGCTGCTGCTGCTGCTGCTGCTGTAGCTGCTGCTGCTCTTGCTGCTGCTGCTCTTGCTGCTGCTGCGCTTGCTGCTGTTGCTGCTGCTACTGTTGCTGCTGCTGCTGTTGCTGTTGCTGCTGTTGCTGCTGCCGCAGCTGCTGTTGCTGTTTGTGTTATTGCTGCTGCTGTTCTGCTGCTGGTGTTGCTATTGTTGCTGCTGCTTATTGTGATGCTCTTGCTGCTGCTGTTAATGCTGCTGCTATTGCTTTGTAATAATTATATATTTATTAATATCTTTACTTATTTATTTGTTTTTTGTATTGGTTGCTGTATGTTTCTAGCATTTGTCTGTCTCCTTTCTGTGATGTCTTGTACTATTTATTTATTTATTTATTTATTTATTTATTTATTTTCTATCTTCTCTTTCCTGTTATTGTTTATGTGCATTATTAAATTACATTTGAGTTTATATCTATTGGGGTGTACATGCAGGTCTCTCCCGAGACTTTATCTGAGCTGTCTGTACACCTGAACAAAGGAGGAAATGTAATACTTCTTAGCAATCATCAAACAGAGCCAGACCCTCTTCTTGCTCGCTCAATCTTTTTAAAAAAAGGATATGCAGATCTCTATAATGCTCTTACTGCTGTTGCTGGATATAGGTTAGCCTGCACTGTATATATATATATATATATTATATGTATATATATATATATATGCATATTATATATATATTATATGTATAAATGTATATATGTATATGTATATACATACATATGATATGCAGATCTCTATAATGCGCTTACTGCTGTTGCTGGATACAGGCTAGCCTACACTTACGCTATATATATATACATATATATATACATATATTTATATATATATATATTAATTGTTTTGTTTTGCGTGCAGGGTTAGATCTGACGTATTATCTATACCGTTTTCTTTGAGCTGCAACATGATATGTGTACACTCGAAGAAGCATTTGTTTGTATCATCTGAAGGATTAGAGCAGCAGCGACGCGAGAATATTGCTGCAATGCATGCACTGCAGCAGCAACTTGAACTCGGCAAGAGTTTAATATGGGTTGCTCCAAGCGGGGGGAGGGACAGACCAAATTGCAACGGGGTGTACGTACACCCGGATACCTTTGATATTAAAACTGTTCATTCCTTCGTATTGCTTGCAAAGAAAGCTGCACGTACACACAATAAAAAAACTCTCTTCTTCCCTCTTGCTATTTATACTGCACCTATATGCCCGCCGCCCAAGGAGGTTAGCTGCTCCGCATGCTGCTGCTCCGCATGCTGCTGCTGCGCATGCTGCTGCTGCGCATGCTGCTGCTGCTGTTCATCTCGTGCTTCTGATGCTTCTGATTTGCTGCTGCTGCTGCTCATCTTCTGCTTCTGGTGTTCTGCTGCTGCTGCTGCTGCTGCTATTCCCGTTTCTACTGGCGTTGCTGCCGTAGCTATTGTTATTGCTGCAGTTGATTCTGCTGCTGCTGCTGTTGCTGCTCTTATACTGCTGCCGCTGCTGCTGGTGTTGTTGCTGTTGCTGTTTGCGTTTCTCTGATGAGGCTTTGTTGTTTGCTGTTGAGGTGTATGTACACCGCAGGTGGTTAAAGAATTAGGAGAGACGCGACGCTGCAGCTTCTCTCCTATTGGGTTTGCACTCGGGGGCCCTTTAGCTGCTACAGCAGATACTGATTCAGGTGTATTAGCAGCTGAAGCGCAGAAGCAGGTTCAAGAGCTGTATTCTGCTGTCTCTTCTTTCGCCTGATGCTTCTTCTCCTGTCTCCCTGCGTCTGCACCCTTTTCTGTCTCTCTTGCTGTCTCTTTTGCTGTCTCCTTTTCTCTCTTTTTCTGTCTCTTTCTCTTTTGCTGTCTCTTGCTGCCTCTTTTGCTGTCTCTATCTAGCTGTCTCTATCTTTTGCTGTCTCTATCTTTTGCTGTCTCTATCTTTTGCTGTCTCTATCTTCTGCTGTCTCTTTTGCTGTCTCTATCTTTTGCTGTCTCTATCTTCTGCTCTCTCTTTTGCTGTCTCTTGCTGTCTCCTTTGCTGTCTCTTTATCCTTTGCGGTCTCTTCTGCTGTCTCTTTATCTTTTGCTGTCTCTTCTGCTCTCTCTCTCTTTCTCTTTGGAGTCTCTCTGTTATTTCTTTTATATTTTCTGCTGTCTCTCTTTTGTTTGTTTTCGTCTTCTTTTCTGTCTCTTGTTTGTTTATTTTCTGTCTCTCTTCTTTATTTATTTATTTGTTTGTTTCTTTTAATTTGTTTTTCTGATATCTTCTCTCTCTTTTTTTGTCTTGCTCTATTACTGCAAATCCAAAGGAGAAGAAAAGGCTCTCAGGGCCTTAAACCCTAAACCCTAAACCCTAAACCCTAAACCCTCGCCATCCAATCCTAAACCCTACGCCATCAAACCCTCGCCTTTAAACCCTAAACCCTAAACCCTAAACCCTAATTCTTCTAACACAGAGAGCGCACAGCGTCTAAGGCATTGTAAACAGATAAGGGTTTTGTTTAATTAGGGTTTTGTTTATTTAAAATATTGTTTAAAAGGGTTTTGCTATTATCTCCCGCAAAACTATCGTTGGGACTGCACTGAGGTGTATAGACACCCAAATGCATGCATGCAGTTGCATGCATATTGCATGCATGCAGTTGCATGCATATTGCATGCATGCAGTTGCATTCATTTTGCATGCATACAGTTGCATGCAGTTGCATGCATATTGCTTGCATGCAGCTGCAGTTACAGTTGCATGCATATTGCATGCATGCAGCTGCATGCATATTGCATGCATGCCGTTGCATGCATATTGCATGCATGCATATTGCATGCATGCATAATGCATGCATTTATTGGATTTGATTGGGATGACTTCGTTTAGGGTTGGCTGTCTAACTTTGTTTACTCTCCCTGTTAATAAATAAATTACATTTACTCTATTTCTTATATATTATGCTTATTATTTATATTATATTTGTTTTATCTATTGCATTATGTTTATTATGTCTACTATATTTATTATATTTATTTTATTGTGTTTATTATTTGTATTATATTTACTCTATTTATTATTCTCTGTTATTATACTTGCTATATTTCTTGTATTTACTTTATTGTGTATAGCTATTGATTAATAAATATATTTATTTAGACTGGCATGTGTATAGGCCCCAGATGGCTCGTAATTCTAGGCTGTTGCTGCTGCTGCTGTTGCTGCTGCTGCTGCTGCTGCTGCTGCTGCTGCTTCCGCTGCTGTTCTTGAGGTGTATGTACATTACAGCACTAAAAGGTCTGCTGCACCAAGCAGCTGCAGCAGACGAAAATGCTACAAGGGTTTAAATGTCTCCTTCCTGCAGCAGCAGCACCAGCACCAGCACTATGAGTGCGTTGGCGTGAAAAGCTGCTGCTGCTGCATCACCACCAGCTGCTGCTGCTGATGCTACTGCTGATGCTGCTGCTGATGCTGCTGCTGCTTCTGTGCTTACCACTGTCCGCCTGTGCCGTGCAGCAGCTGCTGCTGCTGACGGACACCGGCAGCAGCAGCAGCAGCAGCAGCAGCAGCAGCACGCGCTGCAGGGCCTCACTGCAAAACGACAGCGTTGCTGCAAATAATAATTATGAACGGCCCCACAAATCCCACTGCTGCTGCTGCAGCTGCTGCTGCAGCAGCTGCTGTTGCTGCTCCAGCTGCTGTTGCTACTGCAGGCTGGAGCTGCTGTTGCTGCTGCAGCTGCGGCTGCAGCTGCTGTTTCTGCTCCAGCTGCTGTTGCTACTGCAGCTGCGTCTGTGTTGCTGCTGCAGCAGCGTCTCTGTTGCAACTGCTGCTGCTACTCTGCTGCTGCAGCAAGAGCTGATGTTATGCTGCTGCTGCCAGAGCGCCTGCAGCGGCTGCTGCTACTCTGTTGCTGCTACCTCCTCTGTTGTTACTGCTGTAGCAGCAGCACCAGCAGCAGCTGCTACTGCTGCTGCGAGCATGCTGCACAAGAGGCTGTTTATTACATTCTTGAAGGCCGAGGCGAGCTGCTGCGCTGCTGCTGCTGCGGGTGCTGCTGCTGCTGCTGCTGGTGCCCTCTTCTTGAACGGCTGTGGCTTCGTCCGCTACGAATATGAGACTGTCCCTGCTGCTGCGGGTGCAGCAGGTGCTGCTGCTGCTGCTGCTGCGGGTGCGGCAGATACACCTGCTGCTGCTGCGGCACGTACAGCTGCTGCTGTGGTGCATACAGCTGCGGCTGCTGCTGCATATATAGGTGCTGCTGCTGCAAAGGATAGCTCGGCTGCTGCTGCGTGTAACCTTGGTGATATCTCTGCTGCTGCGGGTGCTGCTGCTGGTGCTGCTGCTGCTGCTGCGGGTGCTGCTGCTGCAGGTACTGCTGCTGGCGGTGCTGTGGGGAACTGGGGTATGCAGGGCCCATAGCGAGAGCCGGGATGCTCTGCTGCGGCTGCTGCTGTTCCTGCTGCTGCTCGCGCTGCTGCTGCTGCTGCTGCTGCTGCTGCTGTTGCTGTCGCTGACGGCCGGCGGGGATTAGGTGCTCTACCCTGAAGGGAAGCAGCAGCAAACGCAGCAGCATCAAATAGCAGCAGCAGCAATAGCAGCAGCAGAAACATCAACAGCAGGAACAACAACACCGTATCAACAGCAGCACCGCAGCAGCAGCATCAGCAGCACTGCAGCACCAGCCCCAGCACCACCTTAGCAACAGCATCAGCAGCGACACCGCAGCAGCACATCAGCAGCAGCAGCAGCAGCAGCACATCATCATCATCAGCAGCAGCAGCATCAGCAGCAGCAGCAGCAGCAGCAGCAGGAGAGTAGCTTACTGAGTGAGTGCGAGTGCTTGGTTAATAAGTTGAACCTGTTCTTGAATTGCCTGGAGGTCAAAGAATATATCTTCTTTTCTGAGTCTCTCATCGTTTGTCAGCAGCTTTAATGCACTTCTTGCTTCAAGAAAGCTCTCTTCGTTCTCTAACCTTGAACGTGTTGCTGCTAAATATTCTAGACGAAGAGTTAAGCATGTCTTTAGCTTATTCAAGTCTTCTCCTCCAGATAAAGACAGCCTATAAACACATATATTTATTAATATATAGTTATAGTTTTATATTTATATTTATATTTATATTATTTATTTATTTATTTACTTATTTATTTATTTATTTCGCTGTTTGTTTGTTTGGTCTTTCTGTTATGCGAGTAATTTATTTGTTAAATTAATTAATGCATTAATAAACAACAAACAAACAAATTAATTAGTTATTGATGTATTTATTAAATAAAATAAATACATCAATAACTAATTAATTTGTTTATTTAGGTGGTAATAAAGAAAAGAAGACAGAAAAGGAGAGGAGACAGAAACAAACAAATAAACAAATAAACAAATTAACAAATTTAAAAAAATAAAATAAATAAACAAATTAAAAAGTTAAAATAAACAAACAAACAAACGAACTAAAATAAATAAATAAAACAAATAAACTAAAAAAACAAACAAATAAATAAAAAAGCAAACAAATAAATAAACAAATTTAAAAATAATGAATAAATAATAAATAAATAAATAAATAAATAAATAAATAAATAAATAAATAAATAAATAAATAAACAAATAAACAAAATATGTACAGTGAAGTAAATAAAAATAATAAATATACTATATATATGTCTTCCTTTGTTATATATAAATTAAAATTATAAAGAGCATATATATATATATATATATATATGCTCTTTATTCTTCTTCTTGTATGTTGTTTATAAAGCATAAAAAATAAAAATATAAAACATAACGACATATAAATGTAAAACAAAATATAAAATATAAACACAACATAACTACGTAAGGCGAACAAAACACAAAAAGTAAATAAAATAAACTCTACTTTAGGGTTTAGGGTTTAGGGTTTAGGGTTTATTTATTTCTTCTTACCGGTGTTGCTGCAGTATTTTGATAATAAGCTGCAGCACTGTCTCTGCAAATTGAATATCTAAACAAACAAACAAACAAACAAACAAACAAAACAAATGCTCTTTATTCTTCTTGTATGTTGTTTATTGTTAATTATTTTGTTTTATTTGTTTTGTTTATTTATTTGTTTATTTATTTGTTTTGTTTATTTGCTTTGTTTATTTGCTTTGTTTATTTGTTTTGTTTATTTCTTTGTACTTGGAGCCGTGCTGCACTAGCTTAGGGTTTAGGGTTTATTATTGCGTAAGGATTAGGGTTTAATGCTGAGGGGTTAGGGTTTAGGGTTTACTGTTGAGGGTTTAGGGTTTACAGTTTTGAATTCGCCGCCTTATTGTTTAGGGTCTAGGGTTTAGGGTTTATTGTGTAGGCCTTAGGGTTTAGGGTTTATTGTGTAGGCCTTAGGGTTTAGGGTTTATTGTGTAGGCCTTAGGGTTTAGGGTATATTGTGTAGGCCTTAGGGTTTAGGGTTTAGGGTTTAGGGTTTAGGGTTTAGGGTTTACTGGATAAGTCTTGGATAGAAGGCAGCAGCACTTCGAGGGCATCCAAAACTTTATTTTTTTTTAATTCTTCGAACGTCACCAAACCCTCGCCGACTAAATGACGAAGAAAAGAACAAGCCTTTTCTTGATACTGCACGCAAACCCTAAACCCTAAACCCTAAACCCTAAACCCTAAACCCTAAGCCCTAAGCGTTTGCTTGGTACTACACGCAAACCCTAAACCCTAAACCCTAAACCCTAAACCCTAAACGCTAAAGCGTTTTCTTGGTACTACACGTAAACCCTAAACCCTAAACCCTAAACCCTAAATCTTAAACCCTAAATTATCAAAACCGCAGAGTATTGAGGGAGGCCGAAGGAAGAGCGCAGCAACCCGTTGCAAGTATTTAGGGTCTAGAGTGTATTAGGGTTTGTTAGGGTTTATAAGGGTTTATAAGGGTTTATAAGGGTTTCTGAGGGTTTATTAGGGTTTACTAGGGTTTAGGTTAAGGGTGCTGAATATCTTAGGATCTTAGCTGTAGCTAGCAGTACCAAGCAATCTAAAAATAAGGGTTTAGGGTTTAACGATATAGTGTTTAATAATGTTTATTAGTATCTACTAGGGTTAATGAGGGTTTATTAGGGTTTATTAGGGTTTATTAGGGTTCATTAGGGTTTAGGGTTTAACGATATAGTGTTTATTAGTATCTACTAGGGTGAATGAGGGTGTATTAGGGTGTATTAGGGTTTATTAGGGTGTATTAGGGTTTATTAGGGTTTATTAGGGTTTAGGGTTTAGGGTGCTGCATGCGCATGCATACCTTAGGGTCTTGGCTGTAAATTGCAGAGACGAGCAGCCGGACGCCGCCCTTCTCTAAGAATATTTCTTCGTTTACTTTGAAGTTGCGAGTGACGCAAGACAATGCTTGAAGAGCTCTTAAGCGAAGAGCTCTGCTTCTAGGGTTTTGTCTAACTAAAGACAGCAAAACCCCTAAACCCTAATCCACACAAACACACACATATATATATATATATTAAATATGTGCTGCTAATTATCCTGCTGCTGCTGATGCTGCTGATGCTGCTGATGCTGCTGCTGATGCTGCTGTTGGTGGTGTTGCTGTTGCTGCTGCAATAGGGTTTATACAAAGGGTTTATAGTAAGGGTTTATTATTAGGGTTTATAGTAGGGTTTATAATTAGGGTTTATGATTTGGGTTTTACAATAGAGTTTATAACAAGGGTTTATAATAAAGGTTTATAATTAGGGTTTACGGTTAGGGTTTAGGATTAGGGTTTAGGGTTTAGGGTTTAGGATTAGGGTTTAGGGTTAGGGTTTAGGGTTTAGGGTTTAGGGTTTAGGGTTTAGGGTTTAGGGTTTGCCATACCCCCAGACTAGCAATAGCTTGTTGAATCTGAGCGTTGTTTTGTGCTGCAGTAGCTAAGATTTCTAAGGTCTTCTCCAGTATAATAAACACCTTTGCTGCTGCACTCTCCTCCGGCACCTGCTGCTGCTGCTGCTGCTGCTGCTGCTGCTCATGCTGCTGCTGCTGCTCGTGCTGCTGCTGCTGCTGCTCGTGCTGCTGCTGCTCCTGGGAGGTGTCGGCACTTGTATCGATTGAGAGAAGCTGCACAAGGGGCTCCAGAGCGTTAAGTCTACGCAGCAGCAACAGCAGCAACAATAGCAGCAGCAGCATGAGCAGCAGCAGCAACAGATGCAGCAGCAGCAGCATGAGCAGCAGCAGCAGCAGCAACAGATGCAGCAGCAGCTCGCCGGAAAACCAAACGGCTCTGCGCTCGAAGCAGCATTTGAAGTGCCTCTACAACAACAACAGCAGCAGCAACAGCAGCAGCAGCAACACCAACAGCAGCAGCAGCAACAGCAGCAGCAGCGCACTTAGCGAGATCCCTTGATAATTCAGGGTAGTCTTCTATCAGCCGCTGTACTACCGACAAAGCAGCAATGCAATCCCTCACTGAAACCACCACCAGCAGCAGCAGCAGCAGCAGCAGCACAATCATCATTTGTATGTCTGTTCAGCTTGTGTGCAGCAGATAAAACCAACAAGATGCGGGTACCTCTAACCATTAGGGTTTAGGGTTTAGGGTTTAGGGTTTAGAAGTAGACGAAAATAACGGGCGTTGTTGTTGAATAAATTCATGAGGGTTTAGGGTTTAGGGTTTATATAATAATAATATAATATATAATACCTGGGGCTTTACGTTCTAGAAACAAATTAATATAATTAATTTGTTGTTTAATTAATGCATGCGGGTCTTCTTCATCCTTAAATGCATCCTTTATTGCGTTTCTTAAGAATGTTATATCTTCTTCGCTCAACCGACACTCAGATGACGTGCCGTCTATAAATAAATAAATAAATTAATAAATAAATAAATAAATAAATTAATAAATAAATAAATAAATAAATAAATAAATAAATAAATAAATAAATAAATAAATAAATAAATAGATGAAAAGGCAGCAAATAGAAAAATAAATAAATCTGAACAGACTAAAAAACAAACAATATACGATATTCATACAATAATGCTGCTGCTGCTGCTGCTGCTGCTGCTGCTGCTGTTGCTGCCGCTTGTGCTGCTGCTGCTGCTAAGGCGAGCTAGCGATGGGTCTTCTGCTGCTGCTCGTGCTGTTGCTAGTGCTTCACATGCTACTGCTTCTGCTGCTGCTGCTAGTGCTTCTACTACTACTACTGCTGCTGCTGCTGCATCTTCTGCTGCTGCTGCTGCTGCTGCTGCTGCTGTTTGCTTACCGCAGTATTTGATAGACCATCTGTAGAGGCCCGGCCAGTCGATACCATCTGCAGGCTGCTGCGCCATCTCTAAGAAAATAAAAGCAGAAGAAATTCAACTTGCAGCACTTCTTGCTGCTGTCTAGCAGCAGCAGCAGCAGCAGCAGCAGCAGCTTGAATAGCAGCTGCAGCAGCTGCAGCAATTTATTAAGGATTGCTGCTCCCGCGGCGTCAAGGCTGAGATTGACAAATGCAACAAGATGGAGATGGGGGGGCTTCTGCTGTTGCTGCTGTTGCTGTTGTTGTTGTTGCTGCTGCTGCTGCTGTTGCTGCTGATGTTGCTGCTGTTGCTGCTGCTGCTGTTGCTGCAGATGCGCTTGGGCTGCAACAGCCGAGGGCGGTTTGTTGAGGACGAGTGTGTAGGTGCTTCTGCTGCTGGTGCTGCTGCTGCTGCAGTTGGGGGTTAAAAGCAGCAACGAAGCCTTTGATTGTGCTTCAGCGCTGCTGCTGCAGAGTTGCTGTTGCTGATGCTGCTTGCTAGTGATGCTGAGAGAAGCAGCAACAGCAACAGCAGGCTCTAGGGTTAAACAAGAAGACAAAAACACAAATAAATAATTAAAATAAAGAAGAGAGATATATATATTACTCTGTGTTTCTTCTTTCAGGTGCTGCTGCTGCAGCAGAGCCCCAAGCTTCTCTACGCAGCTGCTGCAGCAGCTGCTGCAGCAGCCGAACCTACCTTTTGCTTAAATACACTAAAATATTTTATTATTAATTAAAATATTTTAATTTGTTCAGTTGAAATCCAATAGTAATCACAAAAAAACATTTCTTTTAACCCCTGATGCTGCTGCTGCTGCAGTTGCTGCAGCAGCAGCAGCAGTGCCTCGAGGTGTATACACACTTCAGCAGCTCCTTCTGTTGCGTTTTGCTCGCTACAGAAGCTGCTGCTGCATTTAAATATAAATTAATTCATTTTATAAAAGATATTAGGAGAGAGTTTATACACACAGTAGAGAGGTGCAGAAATAGCCTCGACAGCCATACAAACAGCAGCAGCAGCAGCAGCTGCAGCAGCAAACAGAAGGGGGTTGCTTCTTTATTTATAATATACTCTTCTTGCTGCTTCTAAGGATTGTGTTTGTTGCTGCGCCTTCATCCTTTTGCTGCTTTCTCTGCTGCTCAACACACAAACACCGTAAGCAGCAAAAACCTTTTGCTGCTGCTGCGGCTGCTGCTGCTGTTGCTGCTGCTGCTGTTGGTGTAGCAGCTAACTACCAGAATCCCTGCGATAGCTGTAGCTAGCTGTAGCTAGCTGCAGCTAGCTACAGGGGCTCCATCGGTAGAACAGCAACACTGTGCTGCTGATTATTTGAGCTGTATATACACCTGAACTTTGTCGCTTCTAAATGAAGAGAAGACTGCACAGACATTTAATTAAAAATAAAATAAATTAAATCTCCTCGCTCCAGTGCTGAGCACCCCGTGGCAGTTGGAACACTCCGCAGCAGCAGCAGCAGCAAGTGCAGCAGCAGCAAGTGCAGCAGCAGCAACAGTAAGTGCAGCAGCAGCAGCTGCAAACGCATCAGCAGCAGCAGCAAGTGCAGCAGCAGGAAGTGCAGCAGCAGCAACGCCAGATCAGCAGCAAGAAATGAGTTTATTAGCAGCACCTCTCGGCTTCTCTTCGCCTCCCCCTTCCCTACGTAGCTCTAAACCCTAAACCCTAAACCCTAAACCCTAGCGCCAGGCCCTCAGCTCTCTCTCGAAGTCCTTTGCAGCAGCGTCAGCCTCCAGCTACTCCTGATATTCAGAGTAGTACATTATCCGCAGCTGCATGGCTAGCTACTTAGCTGGCTAGCTAGCCAGCTGTCTAGCTAGCTAACTGGCTAGCTAGCTAGCTGCCTAGCTAGCTAGCTGTCTAGCTAGCTAGCTGTCTAGCTAGCTAGCTGTCTAGCTAGCCATTTATCTAGCTGACTATCTATCTAGCCATCTATCTACCTACCTGCCTATCTACCTAGCTACCTAGCTAGCCAACTAGCTAGCTAGCTATCTAGCTAGCTAGCTATCTGTCTCGCCATCAATTTTTCTATCTATATGCCTATCTATATAGCTAACTCTCTAGCTACGTATCTAGCTGTCTATGCATCCACCTGGCTAGCTAGCCAGCTAGCTAGATAGCTAGCTAGATAGCTAGCTAGACAGCCAGCTAGATAGCTAGCTAGATAGCTAGCTAGATAGCGGTATGATCTTGGATATGCGTCTTCCTTCGTTTGTTTTTGTCTGCACTTCGAAAAAATAGTTTGCGCAATAGATGCCTCCATCCGTAGCTAGCTAGCTAGCTAGCTGAGAGGCTAGCTAGCTAGCTGAGGGGCTAGCTAGCTGCGCAAGTAGCTAAGTAGCTAGCTAGCTAGCTGTACGGCAAGCTACAGCTGCCCTTTGTGCTGCGAGTCATCTGCACTGCAGCGCGGCAGCTGCTTTTGCTGCAGCTGCTGCAGCTGTTGTTGCTGCTGCAGCAGCAGCAGCAGCAGGAAGTCCTCCACCCTCATCTTTCACGACGGCATTATAAAAAAAATGTTTAATATATTTATTTAGGTGCATGTCTTAATATATATTTAATTTAATTAGTTTAATTAATTTAGTTAGTATATTTATTTTATTTATTTTATTTGCTTATTTTACATCAATCTGTCTTTAATATTCTTGTTTATATTTATTTATTTATTCATTTATTTAATTTATTTATATACTTCAATATACGCCGCTCTCCCCCGGCAGTGCGCAGCCCAAGACCCCACCCAAGCCAGCTAGGGTTTAGGGTTTAGGGTTTAGGGTTTAGGGTTTAGGGTTTATTCATAAGGGATCCAGTTTCTATAGAAGTCATTTCCGTTGCTGTCGATAACCACAAACGCAGGGAAATCCTCGACGCGGATCCGCCATATAGCCTGACCCACACAAACCCTAAACCCTAAACCCTAAACCCTAAACCCTAAACCCTAAACCCTAAACCCTAAACCCTTAAACCCTAAAACAAAGATCAATAAGCCATAAACAATAAGCAATACATAATAAACCCCAAACAACAAACAACAAACAATAAAGATAAACCCTAAACCCTAAACCCTAAACCCTAAAGCCTAAACCCTAAAAGGTATACCTCCATTCCTAGTTCAGGATATTCGACGAGCTGTACATCTTTGATGCAATTTTGTGCTATGATAGCAGCGGGTCCCCCGATAGCTCCGAGATAGACACCTTTATATTGTTTGCATGCATCAGCAACTTCTTTGCTTCTATTTCCTTTCGCTAAAGTAATTAAAGATGCACCCTTCGACATAAACTTCGGCACATACATATCCATTCGACCCGCTGTTGTTGGGCCGAAGGAGCCGCTTATCATCCCTTCGGGTGTCTTCGCAGGTCCTAACAATAAAAATATAATGCATGCAATACAAATATTTACTTTTCTCTCGACTTTTATATGCTTTTTATTCATTATATTTATATTTTAGTAGCAGATTTATTATTTATAATTATAATAATTATTATACTTAAATTATTAATAGTAATAATAATAAACATAATAATAATTATTATTATAAGAGAGGCAGCAGCAGCAAGAAACTGCAGCAGAGAGAGAGAGAGGAAGCAGCAAAACAAACAAAAAACATCAAACAACAACAAATGCAGCAACAGCAGCAGCAACAGCATCAACAGCATCGCCAGCAGCAGAACAGCAGCAGCACCAGCAGCAGAAGAACAGCCACAGCAGCCTAACCAGCAGCAGCAGGAGCAGCATAACCAGCAGCAGCAGCATAACTAGCAGGAGCAGCAAAACCAGCATCAGCAGCATAATCAGCAGCAGCAGCAGCAGCATAACCAGCAGGAGCAGCATAACCAGCAGCAGCAGCATAACCAGCAGCAGCAACATAACCAGCAGCAGCAACATAACCAGCAGCAGCAGCCTAAACAGCAGCAGCAGCAGCAGCATAACTAGCAGCAGCAGCATAACTAGCAGGAGCAGCATAACCAGCAGCATAATAAGTAGGATATATGTATAGTGTACCAGCATAATAGATAGGATGTTGCTTGAAATAGTCCGGGAGATCGCCTTCTTCATTTAACTTTTTAAGAAGCATAGCATGCGCAATATCTCGAGCAACAATTAGCGTCCCTGACAGGGATAGACGCGTCTTGCACGGTAGCTGTTGTAATATCTTCTGTAGCTCTTTCATCGGCTGATTAATATCTAATCGCAGGGCTTCTGCTATACCCAACTCTTTTTCTGTTACTACCGGTAAATACTTCGACGGATCCTGCTCTAATGCTTCTAAAAATACTGCGCAAAACATATAATACACAAATATATATAATATATATTATATATATATTATATATAAAATGTACATATTATATATATTATATATTATATATATCGTATATAATATATATAATATATATAATATGTA